ACTGAGAATATATTATTGCCCTTATATAAATCGATGGTACGCCCTCATCTCGAATACTGCGTACAGATGTGGTCTCCTCATCTCAAAAAAGATATACTGGCACTAGAAAAGGTTCAGAAAAGGGCAACTAAAATGATTAAAGGTTTGGAACGGGTCCCATATGAGGAGAGATTAAAGAGGCTAGGACTTTTCAGCTTGGAAAAGAGGAGACTAAGGGGGGATATGATAGAGGTATATAAAACCGTGAGTGATGTGGAGAAAGTGGATAAGGAAAAGTTATTTACTTATTCCCATAATACAAGAACTAGGGGTCATCAAATGAAATAAATAGGCAGAAGATTTAAAACAAATAAAAGGAAGTTCTTCTTCACGCAGCGCACAGTCAACTTGTGGAACTCCTTACCTGAGGAGGTTGTGAAGGCTAGGTCTATAACAGAGTTTAAAAGAGAACTGGATAAATTCATGATGGTTAAGTCCATTAATGGCTATTAGCCAGGATGGGTAAGGAATGGTGTCCCTAGCCTCTGTCTGTCAGAGGGTGGAGAGAGATCACTTGATCATTGCCTATTAGGTTCACTCCCTCTGGGGCACCTGGCATTGGCCACTGTCGGTAGACAGGATACTGGGCTAGATGGACCTTTGGTCTGACCCGGTATTGCCTTTCTTATGTTCTTTTTTTTAAAATAAATTAATGGAGATATCCTATTTCCTAGAATGGACCTTGAAAGGTCATTGAGTCCAGCCCCCTGCCCTCCCTAGCAGGACCAAATACTGAGTTTATCCCAAATCCCTAAGTGGCCCTCTCAAGTATTGAACTTGTAACTCTGGGTTTAGCAGGCCAATTCTTAAAACAATGAGCTATCCCTACCCCCCTTTTCCTGTCAGAAATTTAATGAAGGGGATTCATGCAGCTATTTAATTTTCTGTCACAAGTCAGTGTGCTAAAAATAGCAGTTTGGACAGAGTAGCACAAGCAGCAGGTTGGGCTAGCCATCTAAGCCCAATGCCGCCTGGCTCCCATGAACAGATAGCTTTAAATTAGGATGTGCATATTGAAAGACTTTGTATTCTTTTAAACCAAATTTTATTTTTATGTTTTTAGGCAAGCTTGAAAAACAGGACATTACGTTTACTTTGAATTTTTAGTTTAGTTTTAACCAGACTGAGTACAAATTACCTAGAGATTGTTGATGTCACAATAGTTCCTTCGACAGACTGAGGGTTCAAGCCATTGTCAGTAAGGTGTCTGTGATAATGGGTGGCTGGGAGGAGAGCATTTGTAAACGGAAGTCAGTAGAGTGTGGGCTGGGTCTCCAATTTTATGAGTGTACAGTGCCTTTATTTAGTCATGGAATGCAAGATTCTGAGCTGTTACTGAGTTTGGGTGATGTGTCAGGATTGTTGTGTAAAAAAGGGGATGAATGAGAAAAGCTGATGACTGGGGAAGACAGCTCCTTCAGTGAGGTAAAGTAATACCAGTTCATCCAATTTCTAATTGAAATTGCACTGTTCTTTTTCAGACCAACTCCAAAATGAACGTGGTAAGTTCTCTTTGATTTCTCAACTGCTAGTATCCTTCAGAGGAATGTTTTTAAATGAAAACAGATATTTATTCTTTTCATTGCCTTTGCTCAATCCAAGGAGAGCAAATTACTCAGCAGATTTCTTTTTAAGCCCCTAACAGAACTATGATAACTTTCTCTACCACCAAGTTGATTCATCATCCTAGAATATTTGTATTTATTTTCTCTCTAGTCTAAAATTGAAGGAATGATTTTCAGAATCACTGTATAGTATGCACATTCAATATTCCCATGCCTTCTCTTCTGTTCATTTTACCTTTGAGTGTATGTAGAAGGCTAGCATAAAATGTCTATTGTGTTAATTTTTTCATGATATTGTGTGTTAGAAATTGGGAAAATCATTTTGAGTAAATAAAATTATACCTATTTTAAAAGTAGATACTGCTGTCGAATATTAGCTCTTTGAATGAAAAAAAAGTCTTCTCACCACTGGGAAAGTCCCTCTGCCTCTTCTCTCGATCATCTCCCTTCATGCTGCCACTGCTCTTCCTAATGCTTTCACTGTTCCTTACAGTCCTTTGTTCCTTCTCAAGGTCCTCCAGCTCTTTCAGTCTCATCTCCAATTCCATCTGTCTCAGATCCACCAATGGGGAACCCAGTGAATATCCCCTGATGTCTGGGGTTGTGGGTCTTAGCAACACCCAGCTGTCTCTCCAACTTCTCCCAGACCCTCTTGCAGCCCCATTTGGGTCAGGAACCTGCTTCTTAGAGTGATCATCATCCTCCAGCTGTGCATTCAGCTTCACTTTGGTGAGCTTTCCAATGCATAACCTTCTCCCTCTGCTCAAGTCTACAATATCCTTCTTAAGGAGACAGTTATACATCATTTTCTGCCGTTCCCTCTAATTTCTCTTTGCCTTACTGCTCCCAGTCACTTACTGCAGAATGCTCCTGGTTCCCTCAGCAGCCAACCGTCCATCAGGTGCTCATTCCAACGCTAACACCAGCTGTCAAAGTCACAATCAGTGCTCTGAAACTGCTCTGAATGAAGTCAGTCAGGACTCCAGTGGAGTGTGTCTCCCCTCAGGGCACACTAGAAGTTACCCCCTTTGTAGCACTCATCACCATGTATTCTTTAACAGGTTTCCACACCCCATTTAGGGTTTATGTCCCACCCTCTGTTTCCATTCTCAGTCATGTACAGGTTTGGCACCGTTGGCCATTTTGAAAAAAATATATATATATTTTTTTAAATTTTTGGATGGGGGAATGTTGTGTGCTTGTGTTTTGACACGTTTGGCTGGGTTTTGTGAGAGAACTTAAAGAAAAGGAGTTTAAAAAAAAGAAAGATTTTTGGTTAGGTTTAGGAAGACGAGAGGATTTTAGAGAAAAAGTTTAAAAGAGTAAAAAGAGTTGTTAAATAAAAGAGGAGCATTTAAAAGAGCTATTTTGAAATAAAAGAGAAAAATATCAAGGTAAAAAAAGAATGTTAGGTTAAGAGAAAGCACATGGCAGAAAACAGGAGATTTAAAAATTAGCTAGAGCATCTGTGTTCAGTGACACGGCTGTGTGAAAGAGGTACAGCGTAGAAAACAGCAGCAAGAAAGAGAAAGTTCCTTTTTCGTTAGTGAGAGAGGTAAGGTATAGAAAACAGCAAGAGAGAGAACGATCCTTTTTCATTAATGAGCAGAATACATGATTAGTGAGAAACTTAAGGTATAGAAAGCAGCAGCAAGAGCCAAGCAGCAAGCTTACCCAGCGCCTGTCCCTAGGGAAATGATAACTATATTGGAGGCTGTGAGCCTCGGAAGCAAACCCTATGGGGCCAATCAGAAGCTGTTCAACTGCTCACCGGCCACCTCCTCTCTCCCCTCCCATCCCCAACCCTCAATGTAACTGACTCATTCTTATCCAAAAAGCAGCCCCCGACCCCCTTTTCTGACAATTTTGTTCCAACTGACTCTGTGTGCCTCTCCACTGATATTCATAGGAGCCATTTTTGCTTATATAATGGAGAGATTCGCCCCTGTGGTGAATGCTTAGATATTGATTTTCTTTTTCAGAAAAATTGTAGGAAAAATGTGATTGTCTCGTGGTTTCACACAAACAAATTAAATGAAATAAATAAAATTATAAATAAATAAAATGAAAAAAAATAGATAAAACCTCTGTAATGGAAAGCATATGATTCATCATCCTAGAATATTTGTATTTATTTTCTCTCTAGTCTAAAATTGAAGGAATGATTTTCAGAATCACTGTATAGTATGCACATTCAATATTCCCATGCCTTCTCTT